CCTAAACTATGACCCTCATTCTAAATTGATCCCAAACTTTTGAATCTTTTAATTTCATCCCAAAATTCAACCAAATATATAATCAGTTTCAACCATTGTTTAACCTATTTTTTTCAAATATATAATAATATAAATTGCTTTAACGATTTTATTATCAATGATGTGATTAGCATATACTTATAATTTGGGATGAAATTGAAATATTCAAAAAGTTTAAGGACCAATTTAGAATGAAGTTCCTAGTTTATGGATGAAACTAAAATGTTCAAAAGTTGAGGACTAATTTAGAATGATAGTCAGTTTAGGGATGAAATTGAAATATTTAAAAATTTAGAGATCAATTTAGAAGTGTCATAAATTGAGGATGCAATTAACTCTTAATAAATCACAAAATAGTTTTGTATCTATTTTATTTAGTAGTATATTAATAAAAATAATTGATTTTTAACTATAATCAAAACTAATTTAATTTTTAATAACTTTTAAATATAGTTAAATTTGAAATAAATTATCTTAATAAGTTGATTTTATTAATTAACTTATTACACTATTAAAATAGTTTCAATTAAATTATCGATTATTAACAAACTTATTGATATAATAATTAAAAATAAAAATAATATATTCCATTTTTTATTTATATATTTTAGAAAAAAGCTACAACGCTCGTCGAGCATGGATGAGCATCATTAACGATGAACACCATTAAATTAATTTATAAAACATTAAATTCTAAAATTCTAAACATATAATTATAAATTAGTTAAAAATCTATGTAATTTAATTAAATTATAATATTTGTAAAACATTAGTTTTTAGGATAAATTATACCATTGACCACCTAACTATTTACCTATTTTACTTTAACCACAAATTTTTTAATTTTATCAATCGGGTCACCTAACTGTTTAAATCTTGTCAATCAAGCCACCTATCATTAAATATTTAACGAAAGAGATGACGTAACAATTAATAAAATTTGTATAATTACACATTTAGTCCTTATTACTTACTTATTTTATTAATCTGATCATAACTTTTATGTAATTCAATAAATTTAATTCTCAATCCAATAGTGACATGTGTCACTATGTGATTGGATTTTTTTAATATTGTTTATTTAATAAATTTTCCATCCAATCCAATGGCACCACATGTCACCAATTGAATTAATGGAAAATAAATTAATTCAATAAATGTTGGTAGTGGGGTTTGAACCCAAGACGCGAAGAGAGGAAGTAAACACCCCAACCACTAAGTAGTACCATTCAAATAACAAATCTATCACGACATAATATTTATAGTCAATGACAATAAAAAAAGAGAAAATGACCTAATAAGAGCTTTAACATTGAATAATTGAATAATATGATAATATTATATATATATATATATATACAAACATTATAGTTGAATAATATGTGAATGTATTTTATTTATATTTTAAATCATTTTAATGAAAAATAAAATAAAAATAAAAATAATTTTAATATATTATAATTGAAATATAAAAAAGAGCTTCGTTGACTTAGAATTTTTCTGATAGTTGAGGGTTTATCATAGTAAGTATTTTAACTTATGTATTGACTTGTTTATATCCCGGTTAAAGTAAGAATTTTATATTTTATTATTTATTCATTATAGATTTGAATAAAATTTTTGGGAAACTTCATTTTATTGAATTAGTCTATTTTAATATAGAGTTATTAAATAAGATTAGAATCTGATTAACTTTATAATATTTTAAAATATAAGATACGATACATTTCAGTTCAATAAAATTAGAATAATGAATATAATTTTTTAATTTAAAATATGTAAAATGATACATTTCAATTATAACATATTAAATTCACTTTTATTTTAATTTTTGCATTAAATGTGATTTAAAATAAAAATAAAACATATTTATTAATCGATTATAATATTTGTTTATATATATTTTATATTTTTCATAATGTTCAGTTATTTAATGTTTGAGTCCTTATAAGGTCATTTATTACCATTAATTATATTATAAATTATATAGATTATGTTCTGTATACTTGACAAATTTAGTGGTCTAGCTTAATGGTTAGAGCACTCAACTTTTTAGCTTATGTCCCAAGTTCAAGCCCCATCAATAACAGTTATTAATATAATTTATTTTTCATTTATTCAATTGGTGACATGTGACATCATTTGATTGGAAATAAAATTTATTAAATAAAAAATATTTAAAAAATCTAATCACATAGTGACACATGTCACCATCAGATTGAGGATTAAATTTATTTAATTAAATAAAAGTTATGACAAAATTAATGGAATGTGTAAGTAATGAGGACTAAATGTATGAATATATAAATTTTATTAATTGTCACGTCACCTCCTCCGTTAATATTTAACGGCATGTAACTTGATTAACAAGATTTAAATAATTAGGTGATTCGATTGACATAATTGAAAAATTTGTGGTTAAAGTAAAAAGGGTAAATAGTTATGTGGTCAATGATATAGTTTACCCTAAAAACTAATGTTTTATAAATATTGTATTTTAATCAAGTTACTTTTAGATTTTTAACTAATTTATAATTCTACGTTTAGTACTTTATAATTTAGCGTTTTATATATTAATTTAATGGTACTTATTATTAAAGATGCTCATCCATACTCATCGAGCGTGGCAGTATCATCCTATTTTTATACTATTTTTAAACAAATAAGTTTCAATTTTATGTTATATTATTTTTTTAATAGAAGTAGCTTGTTTTATTAAAAATGAAATATTTATGATTATAATGAATGTTTACAACTATAATCGTAAATTAAACACATACTTAAGATACTTTTCTATAACTATTAATATAATAAACTAACCACTTAAGACCATACAAGGACTATATAATGAAAATGTTAAAAATCCAACCAAAATACTCGATCAAATATAATAAATATAGTTGACTGCATCGACAAATGTATCACAAAAGGGATGAAAACTACTAAAAGATAACCAACAAACCGTATATCAGAGTTAAGCAATGTGAGAAAACTATGCACGAATACAACCGCCTATCCCAATCCAATTCGATAGTCCAAAACATGAAATATCATTAGGATAACAAATAAACATCATCTTGATCAGCCAAGGAATCGTCAAATCTAATCCTGAGAAAAATATAAAAAAACGACTAAACAATAAAAAGCATACCAAAATGCATAAAAATATTTCATAAAAGCAGAGAAAAACATGTAACAAAGACATGATCATTAAAAATTTAAAATCAAAAAGAAAATAAAGACTTCATATAAAAATATAAGCGAAATAAAAAAGTAATATCGATCAACAGCCAACACTAAAATTAATGTTGTCGTCGACCAAATAAAACTGAAAAACAGTGAATGGGGCAAAGGAAAAAACCTGGAGGGTGAGCGACACAAGGAAAATGCTAATTTTTCTTGTTAATAAACCAAATATTAATTTTGATTTGTTTATTTGCATGTGTTTTTAAATTTATGATTTTAAAAAAATTTATGATTTATATTTTTTTTGCAAAATAATTTTTTTCATGTAAATATAATTTAAATATATAAATATGTTCTACAAATTAATAATTATTTTACTTATTTTATAAAATTATAAGTGAAAACTTTATACTAATTAATATGATTTGAAATGGTGTAAAATTGTGATTAATATATTTTCTTAGTTTTATTTTTCCCCAAAATCTTACTTGTTTATCAAGTATTACAATAAGAATGTATTTATATATGGATGAGTATTACTTGTTTATATATTTTCAGTGTACAATTCATATCGAAACACACTACTGATATGACATACTGAAACATACCATTAATTAAATTATTCTTATTATGTAAATAATAAAAAAGTAAACTATACGTTTAGTACATAAATGATCACTTTTGTTTTATTTTAGTATCTAATTTTTTTAAATCATATCTAACGTGTATTTTAAATCTCAATTTAATACATTGTCATTAAAAATTAACGATAATACTAACGTGGCATGATATGCCAAATTTTTTTATTTTCACATCACTTTTCTTTTTCTCAATCATATTTAACTTGTATTCTTATTATGTGATGATAAATGTCACCACCTATAAGGATAAAATGAAAGAAATCATTCTTACTCCCACTATAATTGAGTAATATTAAAAAAAGATCCACACTATAATTGACTAGTTAAGCTTTTGGTCATTAATTTAAAGTGTATTATATTCGAATATTATAATTATCAAAAAATATTTCTTTTATTTTTTTGAATAAATCGATTGTATTATATCTAAATGAAAAACAACAAGATGCTACAACGAAAAGAGTATTAACTTAAAATTTGCAAAATCTTCCCTATTAATGTCTCAATCATATAATCTATCTCGTATAGTGAACTTCACTAAATAAATATTAACTTAAATGATAACTTGACTTGACTCAACGATTGAGTGTAAAAATGATTCTTCCATTTTATTCTTATAGGTAGTGGCACATATAACTACTTAACCGATTGAATAAAATTAATTAAAAAATTCTAATAGAGAAAAAGAAAGGTGATGTGAGAATTAAAAAATGACATGTCATACCACATAAATATTATCGTTAAATTTTTAACAATGAGTATCAAATTGAAATTTAAACAAACGTTAAGTATGTTAAAAAATACAGTTTATCTACTAAAATAAAATAAATATGATAATTTAAATATTAAATATTAAATATATAATTTATCATTTAATATTTATATAATAAAAATAATTTAATTAATAATGTATTTTGATACATCGCATTAATAATATGTTTTGACATGAGACGTGCTGATTTCCCATATATATATATATATATTCATATTCCATCTTCGGATCCAATTTATTTCTCCGCCATGGAACACAACGTGGCAATCCACGTGGCTTAATATTCACCACCTTTAACAAAAACAAAACAAAAAATAAATAAATTTAGCGAGAGTATTATTTTGCGAATAGAACGGAATCCTTGTTCGCTCTTTCCTTGTGCCATTTCTCCTCTACGAATCTCCGCGAGGGGAGAAAAATATCAAGAAAGAGCCAATCTCGAAATTTCTGCAAAAATATTGTCGAAAACTGAAATTCTCCGCTTCAGGATAAACTGTCATTCCGTGGCCTTTCAGGTTTTCAATTTATGCTTATTTATTCTCTAAGAGATTCTTCATTTCCTTTTATGGAGTTTTTTTTATCGTTATTTATGTAAATTCGTTCCCCCCCCCCCACAAATTACTGCTCAAAATTATGTTTTATCATATCTGATTGGTGGAATTTTGAAATTTTCGGTATAAAATTTTCTCTTACAGGTTCCAGGAAAGTTTTATTGTTCTTGTAAATTGAATTTTAATCTTCTGTTGGCGCATCAAAGTTTTAATTTTCTCTTGCAGGCTCGAGGCTTGTGAATTGTGAGAAATTGAACAAGAGTTTCACTTTAATAATACCCATTCTGAGTTTGAAGCTTAGCTTTTATTGGAATATATTAAGATCTTATTGTACTGGTGATACCCTGCAAACGACTGGTTTCACTTCAAGTTCAACAATGTCTCTTTCTGGTTCTTTGCAGTTGTCCTATGATTTGGGACTGTGCAGGAACCAGGTATACAAGAAAAAGTTTAAGGTACAGGATTCCCCATGCCCATAAAGCATTTTGTATTCTGCGTTGCAATTTTATTTGTATATTGAAAACTTATTCTCTCTTTTATGTTTTCAGTTTCCATTTGGAAGGGGGAAGCTGGATTTATTGAGCCCCGACCTCTCATCCCGTGATTCGGTGTGATTTCGGTGCTTCTTGTTTAGGATACTATTTTTCTGCTATTTGTTAACTGTGACCATGAACATTGAATTGTTTAAAACAAGAAAAAGTGTCACTTGATTAATGCATGCATATGTGCAATATACACGCTGGATTTTGCTTCTGAAGTATTCTTAGCATTCTTATCTTGCTATTTGTGGTTTGTGTAGGATTTGGTTTAAGCCAAATTTATAATGGATGTTTTTTCTTCACGTATGAACAGAAATATGATATATTTTTTTCTTCTTGATATCACCATTTTAAAGTGCATGGAACTTGTAATTGTCTATTTCAATCCCTTAGTCTCTCAATATTTATCAATGCTGTGATTGTACCATGTTGTCATGAGTTTGCTGGATCTAAACACTAGATTTACGTTCTGTTTTTAAATATCATACAACATTGCATTCATAAAAGCAGAAACTTTTCATTCTTTTGTCTATATTTGTGATTACTCAATTGCAATTGTACTTTTAGATATAAATTATAGAGAGATTCTTTATTTAATGGCATTGGTGATTTATGTTCTTTAAGTGATGTTTGGGGATATATTTTCTTCTTCACTTCTTGCCACATTTCGTGCGACAGGATGCCTGGAGAAGTCATCTCTCCAACAATTTGTACAGGACAATGCATTCTGTTCCATACAGAGACAATGCCTTTAGGTGTCATGCTTTTGGAGTGCCTCCCCAAATTCTTGAACTACCTGGTGTAAAAACTGCGTCCATTGCATTGACAAGGTGCTCTTTTTCCCCTGCTCTGTCGTCAGTTTAAGTGTGAAGGCATATATACTGAACCTTCAGATTGTTGTGATCATTTTCATACTCAAAATGTGCTCGGTCATTAGTTCAGCGTTTCAAGTGTTAACTTTTTATTTAGGTTCAAGTTCTAACATATGTCTCTAACTATTATTTAAGAGATTTGCTTTGTTCTGCTTTAGATAATTGATACACATGGTTTCATGTTTCTTAAAACAGTACTGCTGCTGTGGTGATTATCTTTATGTTTAGTGACTACAATGTTTTTGTATGCATTTAATAATTAGTCCTTTGTAATACAGGTCATACAATAACTTACAAGCTAGTCCTACTGTTCTTAAGTTGATTCCAGCTGTTAGTATTATAATTTTTGCCCTATGTGGTGTTGAACCACTTATTCGACAGGGCAGAAACTTACTTCTCCATGTAAGTATGCGCCTGTGGGCTCTACTCATTCTTTTTTTGGTTATTACCATGGATCAAGAAACATTTAACCAGATTGGGTCAATGCATTATCTAATATTCTACGATTACCTGCAGAGGAGTGAGAGTAGTTGGAAGAAGAGTAGAACACATTATGTTACAACTTCTTATGTTCAACCTTTGCTTCTGTGGACTGGAGCAATACTCATGTGCAGGTTCCAAAATATTATATATATTTATATATTGAATGTAAAACGTGTCCTATATTTTTACTGTTATAAAATGCAAAATCTGTTTTCCAGTTCTTCAACTCAAGTCCATGTTATTGGTGTACTTCTTGCAGAACACTGGATCCATTAGTTCTCCCTACAGAAGCTAGCCAAATTGTTAAACAACGGCTTTTACATTTTGTAAGATCATTGTCAACTGTGCTGGCCTTCGCGCTTTGCTTATCGAGGTGAGCATTCATTCTTCTTTTCTTTTTTGGTTCTTGATGAGGATGGTCACTGACTTTTAAAATGATGAAGTATGAAGTACAGTTTGATTTGTTGTATTTATAGTGTTTCAGAATCTTATTCAACTGAAGTTGATATTTTATTGTTGATAATGCTTTTCCTAGTTGTAGTCTCCATGAAAGTTGTTTTGTTGACCACTAAACATGGTTAAATTTTTTTTATACAGAACAGTTCAGAAAATGCAGAGATTCTTCATGGAGACGAGTGAGATCAGTGATACAAGAAACGTTGGTGACATTGCTCTAACATAAACAAATTGATATTAATTGCTAATATTTAAGTAATTGCTATTGTTTGTTGCTAAAAATAGAAGTGTGTATGAAGTGCAACTCTGATGCCTCACAGTAGAGAGATACCTACAATACAAATTAGTTCTCTTTCATTGATTTTCTTTATTTACATATTTTTATGGTTGTTGCTAAGACATCCTGAACTGATGTGTGACCCTTCTAACTAAATCATCATCTCTTTCTTTTTTGGCAGATGGGTTTCCAGTTTGCAGGGAAAGCTATTTACTCTGCAGTTTGGGTCGCTGCTGTTTCATTGTTCATGGAGTTGCTGGGTTTCTCTACACAGAGGTGGCTAACCGCTGGAGGTCTAGGGACAGTTTTGCTGACTCTTGCTGGTCGTGAGGTACACCTGAATAACATTTTCATGTTAATGCATTACAACTTATATGCACATTGAATGTATGTTCTCCTTGATATCAATTTTTATCAATGTACAGTTCTTTCTTTTCTTTAGATAGTATGGGACTGGAATGTAAACTTAGTAACTTACAGATTTCAAATTGGTGATTATTCAATTGGAAAGAACTTTTCGTTGTAGGGTTTAATTGAGTAAGAGAAGATAGTTACCTTTGCAGGTTTGTTTGGAAAGGAACTCAGCTTTGAGAGTGAAAAACCTACAAATGGGAAATGACCTACCTGTCGTCTTGGTTTTGGAAGCTCTAACCATGGGAAATGATTAGGGTTTGCAGTTGAAGCTTGTAAATTGCTTTTGGTGTTTGATTTGGTAGAAGTTTGATAGGTTTAAAGAGACTGATTTAGTGTTCGCTGTAATTTTTGAACAATGCTAGAAAGATGGATAAGAAGATAAAGATAACACTTCACACCTACAGCTAAAACTTTCTTCATACAATTGGAAGGCATCGTAACTTATCGTGCATCAATAGCATCTTTGAAATTATATTGTTCTTGTCAACTGAAAGAGTTTACATACTTATGGTGTTCTACTTATACAATTTAGTGATGGGATACCACTGAAATTTGTTCTCTCTTAAAATATAACAGAAGGAAACCCCAAAATAAAATCTTCAAACTCAAATCATGAGATTTTTCAGCAAATTTAGAGATCGGCGAAATACCACTGAGAATAAACCCCAAGAAAACAAGAAATGATAATCTCATATTTTAACCTAAGGAAACATACAATTAGTTTTTGTTCAATCTTGTTCATTTCCTAAATCAGTCCAAGGTCAAACAAAGATCAACGGAGTTCCAAACTTTTTTGTTCCTATTCTATCCTGATCTCTTCTTTGATCCCTTTGTTACCTGTTTCAGTAAATGCATTTTCCAAGGCTTGACATTTTGTTTTTTGTTGATGTAGATATTCACAAATTTTCTTTCTAGTGCAATGATTCATGCAACTCGACCTTTTGTTCTGAATGAATGGATTCAAACAAAGATTGAGGGATATGAAGTTTCCGGTACTGTTGAGGTTTGTATCTGAGCCTTGTCTCTGAATAAGTTATTTAGAAAAAAAGGCGGAGCTCTTAGATATATACTTTACGGTTATAGTGCTGGTATTAGATATCAAAATTATGATTGGGTTTGCATGATGTAATTCCCTTAGTCACTTAAAAAAATGTTCCATCTGAGGATTTTCTTATGTTCTATCTTTTGCCATTTTTAGCATGTTGGTTGGTGGTCGCCAACAATAATAAGAGGGGAAGATCGTGAAGCAGTACACATTCCAAACCATAAAATGGCTGTCCCTTTTTTCCCATATGTATGGGGTAAGGGGGAGGTAAGATAGTAGGCTGTCCCTTTTTTCCGGTACTCATTGGCGCATTAAAACTCACCTGGCCATCAGTCACGTGGATGTCCATAAGATTAATGTAAGGAGTTATTTTACCATGTCAAAGTTTCTACTGCACCTATCGGAGACATTCAATTGCCATTTCCATTTTTATAGTTTTCTTGGATTGCTTTTGTCTATGCAGAATATAGTTGCTGACATGCGCAAGGTCTTGGCTAAGAATCCTCAGGTCGAGCAGCAGAGATTGCACAGAAGAGTATTTCTGGAAAATATCAATCCCGAGAATCAGGCTCTTTTGGTTTGTATCTTTAGAAAACCTTTCTTTATTCGCCACTTGATAAAAAAAAATTATAAGCCATGTCAAGTGACGCTAAAAGAATTAGCCTCATCCAGTGTCCTTTTTATATGCCGGTAATGTAAGTGTGATGTGGTATCATGCCTGTTCCACTCAAATCTAACCAACCAAAATGACATCTTTCAAATTGTTTACACTAGTGGGTACTTTATTTAAAAGTCCAATCATATTAACCTCTTAGTGAAAAATTCATTTAGAAAAATCAACTTCAGGAGGGTACAGAGAAAATGGAGAGAGCGAGAGAGCAGATATTCTGATGGCAAAGATGGAGAGGTTCATGGAGGGGGTACTTGGTCTGCGTTCGTTGATTACCTTAGTAGAAGAGTGAACAGAAGAACATTAGGGGAACATTTTAGTTATCATGGAAAAGTTACTAGGGTGTTTATTCCTTTTATTAACAACATACCAAAATACAAGGATTGTACGTTTGCATTCGTCCATTTTGCTAGCAGGAAGGATCTGTGCAATGCGGTGGAGAAGATGAACAATGTCAGGATCGATGGGAAGATAATTTCTGTTTCAGTTGCTAAATATGACAAGTTAGCTGGGATGAAGAATCGTGAAGGGAATACTGAGGAGGGCTTCAAAAGGGTAGAAAAAGGGGAGCGGAAGGGCAGACGAATGGCTTCTTCAGCACAAGTGAATGAGAAAATGGAACGAATGAACAAGTTCAATGATGGAAGAACTTATAGAGACATTGTGGTTGGGGTGAAAAAAGTTCCAGAAGGTCATCAAGTAAACAGTCAAAGGAATACAAAGGAAGAGAAGAAATCTTTGGATGTCTTTATTCCGATGGAAGAGAGATTATGGTTGAAATCTTCACTTACTGGCATTTGCAAAGATATTTTTGAAGTAGAATTTGTGCAGAAAGCCTTACGAAATGAGGGCTTCAAAGTTAAGGTGATAAGGTGGGGATGTGCGAAGAATGCGTGTCTGGTGGTGTTTCAGTCGGTTGATGAGAGAAGAATTGCAATGGAAGAAAAATGGGAAGCTTTAACGTTCTGGTTTGATATATTGGAGCCGGTGGTAGAGGAGGGGGGTATCCCATTAGCTTATTGTGCGATTTCAATAATTGGTGTCCCATTAATTTGTTGGTCGGTCCCGTTCTTTACTAGCTTAGCATCCAGATGGGGTAAGGTTGTAAAAATCCAAGATCAAATTGCGCATAGAGTGGATTGCAGAGTGGCGCAGCTGCTACTAAGGGTTGAGAGTCCTTTTGACATTCCAGAACAAACCATCATCACTACGTATGGGAGAAAATTCATGATTAAAATTAAAGTTGATGGTGCTGAGGATTTTTTCCCAGAATTAACAGATATGGAGGTAGAAGAAGCTGCAGAGAATCCATGGGAGGAAAGCTCTTCGGAGTGGAGCAATGAAGACGTGCAGAATCAGCAAGAAGAGCAGGAGGCAGTACAGGAGCTGTCAGTACCCCAAAATAGGATTGAGTATGGGGTTAGAAGTTCTCAACAAGGCAAAAACACAACTACCGAGGGAGGTTTGAATTTAAACATAGGAAGGGAAAATACATTTGACTTGTGCAAAGAAGTGACAGAAGTAGGTGATGTCTCTACACAGCGGGAAAAGTCAGAAGAAGTTAATGAAGGGAGAGAAAATGAGAAAAGTTTGGGAGGTGTCCTTAGAGAGCATGATATAGTTGACTGCGAAAATGGGCTTATTAGGGGCTCGGTTTTAAATTTCAGGAGTGGGCTGGAGCAAGAGGAGGAGAGATTAAGCAAGGGTGGCTGTTTCGAAATAACAGAAAATAATGCTGTGCAAGGTCAAACTCCTGTGCAAGTGGGATCTGTTTCCCTGACCTCCAAAAGAAATTCGGGGACTGTATCTGGGAGTAGATTGAGGAGGGGCATATACAAACATGTTTATTCAAGATCTAGGTCGAGGGGAACTAGGAGCTGTTTAGGTACAAGTTCGGATTATGTATTTGGCAACGAGGAGGAGGAGGGGGCAGAGGCATTGGAGAGCTGGAATGTTAGTAAATTGTTAGGGGTCACATTTAGAGGGGGGGGGGAAAAACTTTTATGAACAGAGCAATTCCATTGATTAAGGAGAGAGGAGTACATGGGGGAAATTAAGGGGTGATGGTTTCCAAGGTTTTGATAGGATATAGATGATTAGTTGGAATTTACTGACTTGGAATGTTAGAGGTTTGGGTAGGAGGATAAAGGCTAGAGCTGTAAGGAGGGTTGTTGATGAGATAAAGCCTTTAATTTTTTTCATTCAGGAATCAAAAAAGGAAGTGTTGACCCCGTCGGTAGTGAGGAAAATGGGAGGTAATTTGTTGACAGCTTCGGTAATTTCAGCAGCTGAAGGTTCTGCTGGAGGTCTGATTACTTTGTGGAATGAGGTCGAGTGTAAGGTTATAGAGGAGGTCATTCATAGGAGATATGTAGCAGTTAAGGGTGTTATTGATGAGGCACAAGGAGCATGTTGGTTTATAAATGTGTATGGTCCAAGTGTTGATTCAGAAAAGGAGGCGTTTTTTGGGGAGCTGTTATCATTCTTAGAGAATATAGACTGTCTAATGTGTCTTGGAGGAGACTTCAATGTGGTAATGTCAGAGGAAGAGAAGATCGGAGGTGCAGTTAACTTAGCTACAATGTTTGCTTTCAAAGATTTCGTGAGCAAAGCTAATCTTCTGGATTTGCCTATGGTTGGAGGCAGATTTACATGGTGCAACAATATAGATATCCCAACTTATGAGAGGCTAGATCGTTTCCTAGTGGACCAAAGATTTTTATCTTTGTTCCCTATGATCACTCAAAGACTCCTAGAAAGGTCTGTTTCTGACCATAACAGCATCTTGCTGGAAAATAGGGGCTGGAATTGGGGCCCTAAACCGTTCAAATTGTTTAATTATGTCTTGGAAGAGGATGGGTTTTGTAAGATGATGGAGGGAGAACTTGTCAAGCTTTGTGATGTGGAGAATAGGCAACCAATCTCTAGTGTACTAAAAGGAGTGCAGGGAGCAGTGAAGAAATGGTCTGGGAAGGGCTATCTTGAGATCCCTGGGAAAATAAATAGGTTGGAGAAAGAAATTCAGGTGATGGAACTTAATTTGCAACAAGGTCTCTCCATGGTGTCTATGAAGAACCTAGTGGAAGCAAAGAAAGAGCTGTGGGACTTGAATAAAAAAGATGAACTGATTTGGTTTCAAAAGTCAAGATTGAAGTGGAATTTGAATGGGGATAAGAACACCAGATTTTTCCACCAGTGTGCAAGAGGTAGAGGAAGGAGAAATAATATCAAATCCATCAAAGTTGATAATGAAGACATTTCAGATCCAAAACTAATTAAAGATTCGGTGGTGCACTTTTTCAAGGGGTTGTTAAACCAGGAAAATACATTGGAAGTTGAGGAACTGGACTTGGATTTTTTAAAGCTCTCGAATCAGCAGAGTATGGCCCTCGAGAAGCCTTTCTCTGAAGAGGAAATTTGGGGTGTAATCGCTAATTCGGATAGTAACAAAGCACCTGGCCCTGATGGACTGAATTTAGGCTTTTTTAAGAAGTTTTGGCCAAGTCTGAAGGAAGTTTTGCTGCTGTTTTTTAAGGAATTTTATGAGGGAAAGGAATGGGACATGGAAATCAACCACTCTTTCCTCTCTCTTATTCCAAAGAGGGACAATCCGGAGGGGCTTGAAGACTTTAGGCCTATTAGTCTTGTTGGGGGTTTCTACAAAATTCTTTCAAAAGTTCTAGCTAGAAGGTTAAGCTTGTGTATTAATGATGTTATTAGTCCATCACAATTCGCATTTATTCCGGGGAGACACATTTTAGATTGTACGTTTATAGCAAATGAAGGCATCGATTGTTGGAGGAAAAAAGGATTGAAGGGAGTTTTCTTTAAGGTGAACTTCAAAAGAGCTTTTGATTCGGTTGATTGGAAGATCTTGTTGAAAATAATGAGTAAAATGGGGTTTGGAGCTAGATGGAGTTCTTGGATGTATAAATGTGTTTCAACAGCTTCCATTTCAGTCTTGGTAAATGGCACTCCTACGGAGAAAATCAACATTACTAGAGGTCTAAGGCAGGGCTGCTCGTTATCCCCTTTGTTGTTCAATTTGGGAGGGGAATTGCTACATTTAATGTTGGTGAAAGCAGTGAACAAGGGGCTTTTCTCGGGGTTTGAATTAGGCTCTAATGATCGTTCTTTCATGTTATCTCATTTGCAATTCGCGGATGACTTAATAATTTTTAGTAAGGCTTTTAGTCATGATTTGGTGAATATTAGGAGGGTGCTTCTAATTTATGAACTGCTGGTGGGTTTGAAGTTGAATTTGTCCAAGAGTAGAATTTTTGGAATTAACGTGGGAGAGGAGGAGTTAGTTTCATGGGCAAAGGAAATAGGGTGTGTAAAGGGAGTTTTTCCATCGAAGTACTTAGGTCTTCCATTGGGGGCCAAGAGGAATTCTTTTTCCATGTGGGAACCGGTCGTACAAAAATTTTATAAGAGTTTGGCTGGTTGGAAGGCCAAGTCTTTATCTCTGGCTGGAAGGGCTGTCTTGGTCAAATCCGTGTTGTGCTCTCTTCCAATATACTACCTTTCTATTTTTCGGATCCCTATTAGCGTTCTCAACAAATTAAACTCTATCATGGCATCGTTTTTATGGGGGGAGCATCAAAGAAAAAGAACATTCATTGGATCAAGTGGGATTTGGTGTGTAAGCCAAAGAAGTTGGGGGGTTTAGGGATCCCGAATCTGTTGTTATTAAACAGGGCTCTTTTGGGGAAATGGGTGTGGAAATTTGCTGCAGAGAAAAATTCTTGGTGGAAATCTGTTGTGTGTTGTGTTTACAATATGGATCCTAATTCTTTGATGATCCGGAATTCTTGGACAGCTCGTACTTCTTGGATTTGGAGAGGAGTTGTTAAGAATTTCTTTTCATGTGATGTATTTGGAGACTGTTTTAGGAGAAATTTGTGTGTTAGAGCAGGAAATGGAGAAACAGTTAAGTTTTGGCATGATGTTTGGTTGGGTTCGGTTCCTCTTAAAGATAGGTTTCCAAGGTTATTTGCTCTCTCGAATAACAAAGAGGGTAAGGTTGCAAAATTCAGATTGCATTATGATGCGGGTTGGGTTTGGGATATTCAAACGAGAAGGAATTTGGTAGATTGGGAGGTTGAGCAGTGGCTGCAAATTATCTCTCTGTTGAACAACTCTTCTTTGTCCCTAGTAGAGGAAGATTGTTGGATTTGGTTGGGAAATGGAGAGGGCTGTTTTACAGCAAAATCATGCGTGAAAGCTTATTTTGATAGAGAGGGTAATGTTGAATTAGAAAGCAATTGGGAAAGATATGTTTGGAAAGGAGTAGCTCCACCACGTGTGGAATCTTTCGTTTGACAACTTGCTCATCATAGAGTTGCGGTGAAAGAGGAACTGCTGAAGAGAGGAGTTACTGGGGTTGAAGACTCTGTCTGCCCTATGTGCAGGAAGTACAATGAGTCGGTCGCTCATTTGTTTCTTCACTGCGAAGTGGTATGGGTTTTGTGGGCTAAGTTTTTAAAGTTAGGAATGTTTTCTTTATGGTTCCTGGTTCGTTGATGGATTTCTTTATGGCCTGGGATGATCTAGTGCCACTATCTCACATATGGAAGTTTATTCCAAGAGCAGTGTTGTGGTCTGTTTGGAAATGTAGGAATGAGGTGATTTTTCAGAATGGGAAGGTTGATCCAGCCTTGTTGTTCTTCATTACACGTTTCAGAACTGTTTCTTGGTTTGAAACATCAGTTAAGGATGTTCACTTTCATTTCGATTCTTTGATGGGGGATTTAAAACTAGCAGATCAACTTGGCAATTCGCATAAGAAGAATCTTCCTTCTTCCAGGTGGAGTCCTCCTCCGGAAGGGTTTTTAAAAGTAAATGTTGATGGTGCAATGGTTAAAGATTGGTATAAGGGTGGAATAGGTGGCTTAATTAGGGATGGCAGCGGGTTGGTGCTTGGGTCATTTTCAGAGAAGGTTGGGAGAGGTCCTCCTTTACTCGCTGAGCTTTTGGCTATTAATAGAGGGTTGATTCTTATTGAGGAAGTTGAAGCTGATTTCTTTCCAAATCAGAGGATCATTTTGGAATCGGACTCTTCTAATGCTCTGAAGTGGATTAATAATCCGAACCTTAGTTCTACTTTGTTCCAATCCTTGGTAACGGATATAGCTTCTACTGTGGAGAGGAAGGGTATTATCACAAGGCACATCTCGAGAGCAGCTAATTGGGAAGCGGATGAATTAGCTAAAGCTGGCATAGGCTGATTTTAGTTGTGTAATTGTTAAGGTGTTTTGTCTCGGTTGTTACTATTTAAAGTGTATTAGGGTGTTTTATGCTTTCAGAATTATGGTTGTTCTATTTTGTAAGAAGTTGTTGTTGTTGAGGTGTGGAGGTGTATTATTGTTCCTATTAATAAAAGTTAGAGGCACTCTTTCCCTCCTTCCAATGTCCTTCATGTTATGTTTGTAACATGGAGGATAAGAAGGGGGTTTTAATGAGGCCTTATTCTATCAAAAAAATATTAACCTCTTAGTATTGACCTTTTCCTAACGCCTTTAAGTATTTCCGAGCACTTTATAACCCAAGAATGTCCTCTTCTGGTAATGAGGAACAAATCTATTAGATTTTGCTAAACAGGAAAAGAAGAAATGTGCCCCTTGTTTCTGGCCGTGATACCTGACATATAAGATGTGTTAGTTGTGTTACTGTTGTCTCTATAGTCTATGCCTTATCATCCTTCTTTCCCCCTTTCTGTCTTGTTTGACAGATACTGGTGTCCTGTTTTGTAAAGACTTCCCATCTTGAAGAGTACCTATGTGTCAAGGTAAGAATCGTCCACCGAAGCTTATACATTTCAATATTCCCTGTCTTTGACAGTATCCTGAGTTAAGTTTGTTATATTTGAATGGATGCCTTATAAGTCTCTTTGGTTGATAATGCAGGAAGCTATACTTATGGATCTCCTTAGAGTCATCAGCCATCACCGTGCGCGGCTTGCCACACCAATTCGCACTGTGCAGAAACTATATGGTGATTCCGACTTGGAGAATATACCATTTGCAGACTTAATGTATAACCGTGATGGAGGAGCATCTAACAGGCCACTTTTACTGATTGAACCCTCTTACAAGATTAATGGTGAAGACATAACTAAAGGTCGTTCCTCACGTCCAGCTGGAGAACAAGACAGTAAAACCACAGTGCGGCCTACTGCAGACGCTAAAGTAGACAACAAAGCAGGAACGACACCAAAGCCCGACTCCAAGTCCAAAGGAACACCGGCAATTGAACCTGAAGCAGATGCCAAGATTGGAGAAATTCCAAATTCCGACACCAAGGAGGAATTTAAGGCAGCATCCGAATCAACATCCGATCCCAGGACAGATGATAAAGTGCCCTTGAAATCACCATCAAAATCTGTCCCCAAAACAAGTTCTAAAGCTGCAGAAGCATCTGGTCCCAACCGAAAAGTTCTGGATTCAATCTCTGATAATCTGCTCAAAAACAAAAAGGTCACTGACAAGCAACAGAAAATTGCAAGGCGGAGTAGCAAGTCGGATAATCCTTCAGTATCCTCACCAGAAACTGGTATAGACAAAGTTGGTGTACCACAAGAACAGTTCCAATCAAAGCAGGAAGGTGAGAAGCTGGCGGTCTCTCGGCCACCAAAAGCAAGACATGACTTGGAGGAAAATATGGTTCTTGGCGTAGCACTAGAGGGCTCAAAGAGAACACTACCTATCGAGGAAGAATTGCCTCCATCCTCAGCAGATGCAAAAGAACTGGCTTCTGCAGGCCGGAATGGAAACGGATCCACTACCGAGGACAGGAAAGATGGTCAGATACGATCCACTCTAAAGACCCTTGATAATCAGTGATGTATTCGAGACGTGACAATCGATCCTCAGAGGTAACAACCGATCTCTTCATGGATTTAAAGAATTGAATCAGATCAGTTACTTAAACTGGGAAGTGGCAAGTATATTTATTTTAAATTCAACTGTTTCATGAAAAATATTTTTAATTTTTAATATTAAGTGTTTAGTAAATTTTAGACTTCAAGAGTTGTTCGAGGCAAGCCAAAAAAAAGTATACATGAATAAAGAAGATAGAAAATTTCGAACCACAACCCAATTCAACATAGGCCGTGATCTCTATGTATATATTATTTTGTAATTGAAATTTGAACATTTGATCTTTCAATAATATCTATAAATTAAATAGATTTTATCTATTTTAATATTTAAATCCATTTTTGAATATTCGATTTCTATAAGGGAAATGGTCGGTCAAATTGTTTAATTCATCTGATGGAAAATTACAAATTGCTATCAACAAGAGCGAGCGAAGCATCGTTCATGTTCTGCATTGTCCATAACTACTATGTTGTCTACAAAAGTTCTTTCCTCTCCAGGTCTCAACAAAATAACCAGAACAACAGCATATTGCTTCCATCTACTGCGTTAAAACATCAAAAAATCTGTTGCAAAAAACATAGACGTTTGATGCAATTTTGATACAATAAAAAAGGTTGTACAGACAGCTTCACCGGTGGAGATAAGCAACAAACAAAGCTGAGATCCATCGACGACTTATGTAACATACTCTACTCCACAGTCCATGCTAAATAGGATCCCCGATAAATTTGATGCCGATAGCCCCCTTCTCGATGTAAATACCACTGTCAATACGCTACAACAATACCTACTAAGAACACTAAATGTAATGCATATATCCAAGGGAGAGAAATTGGGCTACCGCTTATTCATGACATCAATAGCACAAGCTGCAAATAATAGCTGCAGTAGTAAAATCAACAAGATATTGATAGTAATCTCACTTCTTTTAGCAAATAGATAACTGAGCATTAGGAACTTAAGCTCGGCACATGCAATCAGGCGCAGGATATGTATACAAGGACTGTTTTGGTTTCCTTAACCTGAGTTGCCCTAGTCTGTTCTGGTGCCCTTCTGCCACTGCCTGACGGAATTCAGACCATGTAATGTTTTTGTTAAGGAAGAGTTGGCCCAACAAAGCCATATTTGGTCTTATGGTCTTCTTGTTCTCGAAAGTTCGATGTCCCACCTGTTTGCATCATTGCAACTGTCATCTATTGTGCAACGGTTGAAATATATGCCATTTATTTAGCACAAGGGAATAACAACTATAGAATCACCGAATTTGCACAATATCATTTGAAAATTTAATACTGCCCTGCGGATTGCAACAAAATAAAGCACTGTTGCCTGTGCATTGGACAGAAAAACTCACCAATGCATTGTGCATGTTCCCAGGAGATGCAGAGACAAAGATGTCACTATGCACACCAACATAGTAATCAACTGCAGCTAACAAAGAAGCCTTTCCGTTTATATGAACCCTTTCTTCCGAAGAGGCAAGGCTCTTTTTGTTTTCCATCAGCGGAAACAGCTCACGTAGGGTGGAAATCCTAGCTTCCCCACCATATACCTAAAATGAATGGCCATTCGGTGAATAGATTGTAGGAAAACTGGACGTTATGTTTGAAGATGAGGAGATTGAAAATGAAAATTCCTACGATAAAGGACCTTGTGCGAGGCAAGATAAAGTCGGGTACTATTGTCGAAACCCAAAGCTGCTAGCAGCAGTCCGATTTCTTCAGGAGTCAACGGGCAACGCCCCTGGCTTCTCAACTCTTCATCAGTAAACTGAGAATTGAGAACCCTCCCTCCCCAAATTGTTTGTCGATACTTGGCCAGAGCCAATTTTTCAGCTTTACCCCCACCAAAATCACAGGCTGAATGGGCTGCCATATCCTGCACATGTAAAAGGCTAGTGAGTAAGCCGGTGGCCTAAAAGTTGCATGCATAAGTTATGCAGGCACACTGTGTACGATTTTTGAAAAATGAAATATAAATTTAACCAATAGAGTTATAGATTACGAGCAACAAAGCTTAAACATATGGAAAACAAAAAAATTACACTTCCGGTCTTTTAATAAGTTGAATCGCATTTCAAGGTAAAGCCTATGCAAAAACCGATGCCACCTAGTTAAAAACAGGTATACTAATCTACATATGAGCAGGGTATACCTTATCAAACCGAAGATGTACCACAACAAATTTGTGGGGCTTTTGTTTTTCATATTGATCAGTGGTCGCCCAGAGATAGTTACTGCTAACTGCTTCACTTTCACCAGGAGGATATCTGAGGCGATGGACAATTGCATCTCCAAGTGCTCTGATGTGCGGAACAAACACAAGAGCTTTAAAGTTGACTTTACAACGTAATTTCTGGATCTCACTCGGCATGTTGTCAAAAGATAAACGGTGAGAGAATGGAGAAATCGCAGCAATCCCATTACTACACAAAAATAAGACAAATTCATTAGATCGGACAAGTTGGCAACTGAAAGGAACTGAGCTAAAATCATTAAACATGCAAAACAGGTCAGCACACGTTTTCCAAATGGTCCATGACAGGAACAGGCATGAAAGTGTACTTGATTTGGACCAAAAGTCCTTAGGCCCGAAACTTATAAAAGAAACTAAAGTGCAGATTCAAACCGAATGTTTCAAGATGCTACCAACCTCTGTAATACGGGCAAGACATACTCGAGATACCAGTTTACAGATGCATGAACGGGTGCTCTTTTAATTCTGGTTGCCCGAGTAGCAGTGGCATAATACTCCCTTGTGCTCCAAGAGAATTCATCAGGCAACTCTTTGACTATTGAAACGTCATCCTTCAATACATTAATAAAGTGATCCACATCAAATATATCCATGAATGAGCTGCAGGGAAAATAATTACTTCAGAAAAATGGCCCCTTAAAAACGAGGCAAAAGCTGCACATTCCACCTGGAATAAGAAACTGAAAGGGTAAATTCCTTACCTCGAGTCTTGCCAAACGGGATTTACTTCAAGATGTGGGATCACAAGTGCTGCATTCAGTATTTTTGCAACCGCAACGGCATCACATATCTAAAACAACGGAATTTAGTATCTGATTATCAGATCGGTTGTCTGGAACATATAAGTGACTAAAATATTTAATCAGGAGGACTAGAATTACTGAATGTTTTCCGAATTCTCGACTATTCTAATGTATAATGAAAATGAATACCTACCCCCATTCTTTGCTGGTTGAGTCCACCGTCAAGAAACACCTGAAGATATCCTTCAGATTTCTGTGGCAATGCTGCATTAGGTAATCAAAGAAATCGAAGAAAAATTAAATATCGTTATCTGAAAATAATAGTTTAAAATCATCAATACCAAACCTGAGTCTCATAGCTCGAAATACCAACAATGTAGAGAAACCAAAACTAGAAATCTCATTACAGGTCACTCACAGAGGACATTTGCAGATTCAATAAACGGTCTCCACCCTTGGTCGGCCAAAGGAGCCCAGAGATCAGACTGCTCTCCATTGGACTGAAGAAGTAAATCAGACAGCAAAATTACAAGTCAGAATACATGCTGAAAAGGAAAATCACAAGTCACAACATATGCATTATACATGTGCAGGAACACGCACATACACAGATGCTACTTAAGGAACATCTACTCACACTTTCGCGTTCTAAGGCACTCCCGAGTAAAGATAAATGTCTAGGTTTAGGAACATTCCATTCCTGCAACAAGTGTCAAAGGGCACAATTAGTCAATTTCCTTCCCAAAAAGCAAATTATGATCATGTATCGTGCTAACACTAAGCACTCAGCAGCACAAATTACTACATTGATGACTTTACCTTATTTCCTGACGAATTGTAAAAGGATACAATCTCAGTTCCATGCACCAAAACTGATAAAAGTAGGAATTGTGCCCCCAAGACGATAAAGAATTGGTCTAACAGTTACCGAAGCTTGCTATTTTTTGTGAATTTGGGACTACTAGCAAAAGCCAAAGTTTACAAGAATGGAAGAAAAGATGAATTGTTGGCCACCAATTTCATTTTCCCAATTAAAGCAAATTAACCATATCTTACCAAGACATAAGTACTAGGTTGGCCTAATTTCCAATAAAGCAATCTGATTATCAAACAATTGGCTACATAATCTTGCCACTAATGCAAACTAAACTCAAACTGATCCTTTCTATCTTTAGTAACTGCAACTTTTTCATTTAACATACCATGAAGCTCCCATTTCCCATTTCCATGGATATTTCACAATGAAAAATTAAACCCAGAAGCCATATTCAATTGAACAAAAAGAACTCAAGTATGAACATACCGAGAATGTAGAAGGGGAAGCATGGGCGAATGGTGTGAACAAACAACGCCAAAGAACTGGGAAAAGCAACAGAAATAACCCAGAAACTGCTTCTCTCCGAAGAGGCTGATAACAATGACTATGGTAATGAAACCTCATCATGTTTTCCCCACCTTAAAGCTGAAAAACACAGATCTCCAAGACGACCACTTTCCTCAATTTGTTTTCTTCTATGTTGGCTTTGATTGGCATTTAATGGTAAGCAGTGAGCACCACTCAAATCAGCAACACACCAAAACAAAATCTAACCAACAGCCAAAAAAAAAAAGAAGCAGCGCAGCTCAAGCACCCAACATCATACGAATCTCTATCTATTGCTCTCTCTTTTTTTTTCTTTCTTTTTCTGATCGAATTCTTTCTCTCACTTTCAAGCCTTAGTTATGGCATCTCACATGGACACCTGTTCAATTTGATTATAGAAAACCGTGTCCTTTTTTTTCTAATGGGACCCCTTCCAAAAAAGATAAACCCATTGAAACCAAGCAACTCTTTTGTTGATTTACAGGGAGGACTTGGCTCGGAATATAAAAGTAACCTTGAGAATAGGATTTTGGAAATGTATTATTAATGATAAGGATATGATATTTTGTTTAATTTATTTGATAGTAATGTTTTTTATTGAAAAAAATATAAAATTATATAAAAATAAATTTTATCAAATTGAATTTATGGTTTATATTTTTTAGTTATTTAAATTTTTATATTAAATTAAAAATATTTACATAAAATTCATATAATTAATTTTATCATGTTATCTAAATGTTATAAAAATATTATACTTAACATATTATTAATATAATTATTATATTAAATAACGTTAAAAATTTTACATAAATAAATATTTTGTATTCAATTTGATCATAGTATTAAATTGATTATTTTAATAATTAAAAACTTGTTTAAGTTAATAAATCATTAATTGAGAGTGAGAATCTCTATTTTAAATTAATAATTAATAATTTATGGTGAGCAATTCAGGGGAGTGAGAATGGAACAGATTTCAGCACCTATTACCGGTGCACATAGCAATCAAAGGACCAGGAGCTATAGCCGCGGAACATACAATAGGATAGAAAGGCACTGCCAATCACCTTTTCTAGATCAAATCAGCATATGGGTTAAGACTTGGCCCGTACGAGGGTAACAATGAGATATTATGGAAGACACTTAATAAATTTAGGGGATTGCGAAGATTGAAAATCTTCATATGGCTTGCGTGTAACAACAAAATCATGACGAACGCGGAATGAGCCCGTAAAAACTTCACGACCGACAGTAGATGTCCCGTTTGTGCAAAGGCCCCAGAATACGTGAACCATGTGTTGCGCTGGTGCTCGCAAGCGTCAAGCATTTGGATGGCACTAGTTAAATCGGACAAAATATGGGAATTCCTCTACATAGAGATACAGCCCCGGGTTTTAAACAACCTTTCCAACCCAAGCTATTTTGAACAGAAATGGAAACAACCTTTCCAACCCAAGCTATTTTGATCAGAACTGGGACATATTGTATGGATCGATTCTGTGGAATTTATGGATCAATAGGAATGCAATGGCGTTTGACTCTCCAATGGAAGAAGCTGGGACAATGCTTGAGAAAAGTCGCAGACTTCAAGCATGGAGCGTTAAAGATTATAACCCCGATGCAGCAGGTAAAAAAAATCACACCAAGCACTTGGTCCCGACCACAAGCAGATTGGTTAAAGGCCAACACTGATGCAAGTCGGAGTTCGGTAGACTGCAGCTCATCATGTGGAGGCGTAATAAGAGACCACGATAGTAAATAGATATTAGGTTTTTACAAATACATTGGAAAATGCTCAACTCTTGAAGCAGAGCTCTGGGGTATATATACCGGGATGATTTGTGGCCGAAACCTGGGAATCACACAGCTGGAGACAGTCTTGACGCTATTAACCTACTGCAGAACAAGAAGGATCGGCAAGTTGTGCTGAGTATCACTCTACTTATCGAGAAGTTATGCAAGTATCCAATTGAAGATTTGCCCAAGGTGACTGTTATTTCTAACATTGACGAATTCATTTATTTAAGATGTAAACATGATCCGAGTTTGTGTTTTATGAGCATGCCAACAAGAATTTGCTAGTCTTAAAACCAGAATTTAGCACCATTTGAATTTTTTACGAGTCAAATATCTATAGTTTTTTATCATTTGAATCTGAATTAATAAAGGGATAGGATATTGTTACACAATATAAAATTATTTTAGTTTTACATAGATTTTGAATCGTTGAATGAGTAAAAATAGATGCTAAGATTAATAGTAGTGAATGAAAAGATATTCACTGAAAAAAAAATGAGTCAATCTCAACCATCTATTTTCACTCATCAAATAATCATAAATCTATGTAAAACTAGAGAGTTTTATATTATGTAAGTGGATCTTAACTCAGTTATAAGTTTTTTTTATAAATCATTTAAATATTATTATTATTATTTATAATATATCTTACTTTTTTAAAAATTGAATTGAAAATTTTAATTTATATGTCAAATATTTAAATCCTCCTAAATTCATATTCGAATTCGTTAAAATTAAATTATCAAGCTTCAGATCTCCTTCAAAATAAATACATTTTCTATTTTGAAATTCAAAATCAAGTTCCACAGTTAATATATGCATAAATAATGCATGTTTGGATAATGAATGTTTGATGGCTATGTCCATAATGGATAGTAAATTTAAGAGAAAATCGCCTCAGTGACCAAAAAAAAGTTATAATATACGATTTTAACCAACTTTTTTTTGGATTTGCCAAAATGACCAACAAAATCGCAACGCGAAATAAAAATCGCAACGCGATCCCCAGAATCGCAAATCAGTTTCCAAAATCGCAACGCGATTCTTGAAAATCGCAATGCGATAGTACAAATTCGCATTGCGATTTTCCAAAATCGCAACGCGAATATGAAAATCGCAACGCGAACACATAAATCGCAACGCGTATCCGTAAATCGCAACGCGTATCCGTAAATCGCAACGCATATGGGTAAATCGCAATGCGTATCCGTATATCGCAACGCGTATCCGTAAATCGCAACGAGAATCTGTAAATCGCAACGATAATCCGTAAATCGCAACGAGAATCTGTAAATCACAACACTGAAATTTTGGGTATATAACACTGAAATCATAAACTAAATCCCTAAATCGCAACTCATTCCATCTCCATCTATCACTCTCTCCGGCGACATCCGTTCCTATATCCAACGACACAACAGGTTTTAGTTTCGCAGCTCGTCTGTTTAGTAAATTAATTTACAACCATGAAATCATCTAATGTTGATCATGTTTGGATAGATTTGTGTTTTGGAGGGTCATGGGATAATGTTCATGGTGTTTTACAATATATGCCTTTACCCATGAATCTTCAACTAAAATTGTCTTTACAAAAGTTAACTTATGAAACTCTAATGCTACGTGTTTCAAATAAATTGAATTTAGAGCCCCTAAGTGGATTTAGGCTATCTTATCAGAGAAATGGTAAAGTTTATTTGTTAACCGACAATGAAGATGTTGAACGATTCATTGCTTACATTAGTGTTTCACAAGATGATGTTACATTGTATGTTGTTGAACCTAGAAGTAGTATTGTTGGGTCAGTAGCGGGTAGTAATCAACTAAGTTTTTCTCAAAACCCACAACCTTTCTCTAATCCAAATCCCAATCAACTTTCAGCACCAAATTCCGGTTTTCGTATTGACCAGTTAGACGATGATGAGCCAACAGAAAAAATTGTGAGTACTAGTCAGTATTCGAAATTTGGTCTTGGTCAATATCCGGACTTTGATATTGGTCAATACACGGATTTTGATGATGTTTCAGAAGAAGAAACAGACCATGTGTGTAATGATTTTCATATTGGTCAATACCCGAATTTTGATGATGAAACACCCGTTGCCGAGGAAGATGTTGTTGATGATAATGAGGAGGAAGTTACGACTGTGAATGAACATGTTGAACATCCATTCTGTAATTCATATAATCCTGAAGAAGAAAAAGAAGAAGAAAAAGTCCCCGAAGAAAAGAAAATGCCACGGGAGTATAACTGGAATATGCCAGAATTACTTCAGTTACCGGAAGAAGAGTTGGCAAAGAAAGCAGTTGATTGTTACACAAAAGTTATTCGTGTCAAGAAAGATGATTGTTTTGATACAAAGGAAGACTTGAAGATAGCTTTGTATACGAAATGTGTGGAAGATGGCTATCAACTAAAAGTTAACAAATCAAGCAAAGATCGTTTCGAAACAAGGTGTATGATTGACAAAAACTGTACGTGGCGTATGATTGCAAAGAGAATAAAAGATTGCAAAATGTTTCAAGTTAGGACTTTTATTGATAAACATACATGTTCAAGAACCCAAGTTTTTCCTCACCATAGACAGGCAAACAAAAAGGTGTTGGGTGGTTTTCTGGCTGAGTTAATGTTTTTGAATGGCAGGGTATATCGGGGACATGAAATTATGACTGACATGAATGCTCGGTTCAATATTAGTATATCATATTCTCAAGCTTGGAGAGCCAAATGTTATGCCTTGGAATTGTTGAGGGGGTCGCCAGAAGCATCGTTTGCCCAACTGCCGGCTTATTGTCACAATTTAAAGCTGAAAAATCCTGGGTCGGTAACTCATATCAAAACAGATAGAGATGGACGCTTTGAGTTGCTGTTTATCGCCATTGGTGCTACGGTTAGTAAATCAATATAATTTTGTTGACTCATTTTTGTTAGTTACATGCATTTCACATTTAAATGATTATATTTCTTGTGTATATTATTTTGTAGATTCGTTCGTTTATTACTTGCATGCGCCCAGTTATTATAGTTGACGGAGCACATTTGAAAGGTCGATACCTTGGAGTAAACTTATTAGCAGTAGCCATGGATGCTAACAATGGGATATTGCCAATAGCTTACGGGGTTGGCAAATCTGAAACCTCTGATTCATGGACATGGTTTATGGGGCATCTTAGGGATTGCATAGGTCCTATTAGCAATCTGACAATCATATCCGATAGGGCAAACTCAATTGACAACGCTGTTAGAAGGTGTTTCCCAGATGCTTTTCATGGACTTTGTGGTGTTCATTTGTATAGAAATCTAAAATCAAGGTCTGCTGGTATAAAAAAGCACAAATGGACATACTGGAAGGCTGTAAAAGCTTATCGGGAAGTGGATTTCAATAAGCATATAAATTGTTTAAGACGTGTTTTGCCTCAGTGTGCTCAAACACTAGAAGATGTCGGGTTTGAAAGATGGTCAAGAGTACATCAACTTGGAGCAAGATATGGTTTCATGACGTCTAATAGTGCA